TAACATGCTGCATTTATTATGCTGCATTGCAATTGCCTATATACTTATCTATTCCCCCAATTTGACTGTAAGTAACTTGAGGACAGAGGCTGTAACTTAATCGGCACTGCTTCCCCAGTGCTTACACAGCACTTGACATACAGTAGGCATTCAATATAGACAGCTGACTGAACAAAATGGGCTTGAACGGTGCTCGTCCACTTATACACTGATTTTTTTCAATAAATACAGTTGGCCCTTCATGCCCACAGGTTTCCACCCACGGATTCAACCAACTGTGGATGGGATACAGCATTTTCACATTCCCAACCACGGTCTCCCAGCTGCAGATCAAACATATTGTTTTGCATTCACAGTTAGTTGAATCCACATATGCAAAGGGCCAACTGTAGAGTGAAAAGTTACATGTGGATTATCGACTGTATGGGGGTTGGCTCCCCCTAGCACCCAGCTTGTTCAAGGATCCACTGTATATAATGAATAAATTAATGGACTCAACAGTACTTTTATGAAGCAGTGCTGAATGAAAAAAACAAACCAATTGTCTCCGGAATTTCTTTAATTTATTTCATAAGCCTGTACTTTTCTAGGCTGAAAATTCTCAGACCATTCATTATCAGCTAACTACAACTAAGAATTAAACACATTTTAACCACAACTTCTCTGGTTATTGATACATAACAACTAGGTACAAACACTTTCCCATTCAACTAGTGGAATCGTAAGTCACTCCACATAAAGCAAGAGTACCTAGTGAGATAGCGGCAATGTGGTCTAACAAATGCAGAATGCATGTTAATTGTCTGAAATGACCAAGGTGTGCATTTGTTTACCTTGCAGGAAAAGTTTGTAGCTGGTTGTTTGCAAGATGCAAGATTCGCAGGTGTGGGTGCCCGACCAGGACAGGCACACACTGATCTGTCAGGAGGTTGTTGGTCAGATAGAGCAGCTGCAGGGCACTCAGGCTCTCCTCCCCTGCAGAAGCAGATGGCAAGGACTCCAGACTATTTGCGGATGCATTCAAGTACCTGAGGCTGACAGAGCACACACACATCATTTCCTGCACGGTTATTTATTGCCTTAGGTAGAAAACATCATGCCATCTCAGTAGGGAACACTGCCATTACATGCTCCAAAACTCATGACAAATGAAACTTCCTCCAGGTAGTTTTCTCTAATTGATTCTAACAACCAAAGTTCTTTTTACTCAACTCATGCAAGCCAAATAGACAGGAAATCATTCAGGCTTGGTAGTAGTCCCGGGCTTCTGTAGTGGCCTGAAGTCTACCTTAGCTTCATTTTTTACTGTCTTTATGTCCCCCCGAAAGAGTGCTGTTGAGTATCATGTTCACAAATATCCAAACTGTGAAGACACCCTTCAGAAAAATTTTTTGTCAGATTTCAACGTCATCATATTTATTTAGCCAAGCCCCTTGTAATCCCCTAATAATGGGCACAGCGCTGTTTCCAACTGTTTGCTATTACAGACATTATAATGAGCACCTTTGTATCCTTATCCAATTATTTATTTATACTACATTCCCAGAAGCAAAATTGGTTGGGGTCAAAAGATAGATATATCTTTAAAATTTTCATATATATTGCCAAACTGAGCTCCAGAAAGGGCAATACCAATTATACTTACAATATGTATTATATATACAAACACTGTTTTTTTCTTTTTATATACAAACATTTTTTAGAATTTCCAAAGATTTTATTTTTTGGAAAGTCCAACCAAGTGTATTGAGATGTATAAGCTGCCACACAAAGAACAACCCAGACACTTGTAGGCTAAATGCTTTTTGTATGTTTCCTGTAGCTGGCAATTTTCAACCTTTGCATCTCATGGCACACATAAACTACTGAAATTCTGTGCACACCAAAAAAGATATTATATTTCTTGCTGATCTGACAAAAAAAGGTATAATTTTGATTCACTCACATCAGAGGGCTTGTGTTGGCTGTTGTCATTATTTTATGTGACAATCTAAGAGAAAAGAGATCAGTGCCCCTGACTAAATAGTCAGGTATCACATGTTTTAAAAATTCTTGCAGCACATCAGTTGAAAATCACTGCTATAGCCTAAGTTAAATTACTAGTGCTTATCTCTATTTTCTCCATTTCTAAACTAAAGATAATATTGTCTTCTCCATATTGCAGAAGGCTATAATTAAAAACGAATCTTCATTGAATGGTGGGTGACATACACATTAGATATACCTGATTATGGATGTTAAAGTAAAAAAACAGTATTTATTGCTAATTTACAATGAGAAAGCAAGTAACACCTTCTGAAACAGTGTTACCTTTAAATGCAGTTTTCAAAGTAGGTAGTAAAAGAGTGATGCAAATAAAGAATAAAACTCAATGATAGCTTGGTAAAGCTAGAAGCAAAATTAACTTTAATGGTATGTCCTTTTTTCCTAATGAAAAAGCTAAAAATTGCCAAGAAAGAGGCATGAGAGCACTGCAATTTCTCTTTAAAGGTCATAATTGTATTTGTTTTCTGAGATGAAAGCCTGAACCTTCCCCACCTGTTTGAAACTGTTTACAACACCAAAACTTGTTACGTATTTGATGGTTATTTCAACTCTAGAGTCGAAGATTATCACCTCATAAAACAGTGTCATATTTTATTTCATAGAAAGTACAAATGACTCCACCCATAGCTGGACTATGAGGTAAACTATAAACCTAGTTCCAAAGGTCACCCCAATGACAAGCAGTGCAGTACTTACTTTAAGGCCTTGGAGAAGAGGGTGTCCGGCAGCCTGGTGAGCAGGTTATGCTGGATGTCCAACACCTCCAGAGGGATGTGCTCCACGAGCACTGGGAGGTTCTGCACGTGATTGTGTCCCACCATCAGTTTCCTAAGACTCAAGCTGCTAAGAATTCTGGAAGTGGGTGGGAGGGGGGACAGTACAAAGAAACAAAAAACTTACTTAAGTCTTTCTTTCTGAGTCTGCCCTTGGGTGTTTAATTAAATGAGTAAAATGAATAGAAACATACTCTTCTAGACAGTATAATCCAGGGGTCCTCAAACTACGGCCCACGGGCCACATGCAAATACAAATATTATATTTGTTCCCATTTTGTTTTTTTACTTCAAAATAAGATATGTGCAGTGTGCATAGGAATTTGTTCATAGTTTTTTTTTAAACTATAGTCCCGCCCTCCAACGGTCTGAGGGACAGTGAACTGGCCCCCTGTTTAAAAAGTTTGAGGACCCCTGGTATAATCCCTGACAAGTGCCTGAGCCAAGAAAGCAGCCATGGCCATATGTTTACCCACCTCCACCAGGAAGTCCTTACGGTCATCCTGGGAAAAGGTGAGTTAATGAAAGCAACCAGCACAGAACAGATCTAAACAAAAAATTTCTAGAATAAATCGATTTACTCTAGAATTGAGTGAATCTATTAATATAGGTAACTATAATAAATAACAAAATTCATTATAACAAAGCCACTATTCTGTGCTTACAATGTGCTAGGCCAGAGAAGGCGAACCTATGACACGCGTGTCAGAGGTGACACGCGAACTCATTTTTTTGGTTGATTTTTCTTTGTTAAATGGCATTTAAATATATAAAATAAAATAAAAAAAATATATATATATATATAAAATAAATATCAAAAATGTAAGTCTTTGTTTTACTATGGTTGCAAATATCAAAAAATTTCTATATGTGACACGGCACCAGAGTTAAGTTAGGGTTTTTCAAAATGCTGACACGCCGAGCTCAAAAGGTTCGCCATCACTGTGCTAGGCCACTTAACTATGAGGTTCAGAAGAAATAGTGACTGATTTGCCAAAGATCTCACATTGAATGTAGTCAATGGCATAATCAGGATTTGAACTAAGGCCTGATTCCCAAGGTTGTGTTCATACCTACTATGCTACAAAAGCCTCTTGTTTAACTTAAAACACTCCACTAGATGATAACATTTTATACCTTATGTAAATGGTATATTCAATGCTTGTAAATATACCACTTACCCCCTCTCCCAAGCACCTCTCTCTTCCCCGCCTCCCCACATGCAGAAGTCCCACCATATTGTATCTTATATTCAAAGTTCTGAATTTCTACAACATTTTATTTATACAGTGCAGTGATGAAAAGTGAAGGCAAAAATGACAACATTCAGCACTTGGCGGCGTGGCTCAGTGCTTGGAGCGTCAGCCTGCACACCGGAGGGTCTGGGGCTTGGTTCCTGGTGTGACCGGGGGCACATACCTGGGTTGCAGATTGGGGCATGTGTGGGAGGCAACCAATCAAGTGTCTCTTTCACATTGGTATTTCTCTCTCCCTGCCCCTCCACTCTCTCTAAAAATCAATGGAAAAAATATCCTCACTCCTCGGGTAAGGATTTTAAAAAAAAGAAATGACAACATTGCAATGTCAGCACTCACTACTTCCTAGTTAAGTGTGACCTTGGGCAAGTTACCGAGCCACTCCAAGCCTTAGTTTCCTCATCTGTAAGATGAGGATAACAGCACCTATATAATAATGCTGTCAAAGGACTATATAAAAGTAAAGTTCTCAGAACTTTGCCCAGCTCACAATAACTCATCCAATAAAAAGTATCTATTATAAGTATCATATCACCAACCTACGCCTGCAACCTGTTACATTTTATCAGTTATCTGGGCACAAGTCCCCTCAACTACCTGCTTATTACTAAGTTGCTTACAGGCCAGCCTATGCATTAGCTGTTACTATATCCCTCACAGCACTTCACATTGCCCTGCACTCAGCAGGTACTGAATATTTATTGAACAAATAAATGAAAGTACCTATACAAAGTAACCCAATCTAGAAGAATAATTAAATACATGCATACACACACAGATATCATTGTATACATACATAATATATATTAACACACACATACCTCATAGGAACCTCTGTCAGAAGATTATAGCTCACATCTAATACTTCTATCTTCTTTGCTTCACAGGCCCAGTCAGGGACACATTCCAGCTGGTTTCTATCAAAAATAAATCAACACAAGCCATCATTTACGATGATGAGTGGAACTCATTTCATTAGTCTGTAATATACCTGTTAACTGGCCCATGAGCCCCTTGAGGGCAGGAGCACTATACCTAAGCGTTCTTGGTCCACTACCGGAATGCACTAGGTGCTCAATGAATGTCGCTGATAGAGAGGTGGACAGAGATAAGCACCCAAACATGTATACTCCTGGATCAATTATACTGCATGCTCAAAGAAGATACAAAGGCTCTCAACAGCAGGAAAGCATACATATGATGGGATGACTGAAGGAGAGATGTGGAAAGACTTAATGGAAGAAGTGGCATTTTAAACAAACCTTTGAAGATGACTACAGGTAATAACTGGGGAAGAAGAATAGCAAATTCTGGGGAAAATGAACAAAATGAATAAAAGTGAGGAAGTAGGGGCACAAGATAACTAGTGGGGGGCTTCAAAACATTTAAAATGTGAATGCAAATATTTAGTAGAGCACTGAGCAGACACCTAGTAAAAATATTTTTTATTTTCAGATATTATTTAGTCTCTCTTGGCCTCAATGTACCTACTGATCAGTCGATTGAGACGACGAGGCAGAATGAAGTGAGGGCTGTAAGAGAAATGCAGATACGGCTACGATGGCTGAGTGAAAGAAGCACTTTGTCAGGAATGGATCAAGGCAAGCTCCCTAAGAAATAGGACATCTGGGTTATAATTTGAAGAATGTGGGACAATGACCTGAAGAGAGGAGGACATTCTAAGAAAGAGGGGACAACATGAGTGAGAACACAAAGGCAAGGAAAGAAATGGCATGGCATATGTGGGAATTATAACAAGCAGTTTGGGGAAACGGAGCAGAGAGTGGTAAGAAACAGGCTGGAGAAAACGAAATCATGTCCAGAAGACTGTGACTTTACCCTGCAGGTATAGGGGGATCACTGAAGAATTAGTAAGTAAGTACAATGTCAGTTTTGTAATTTTAAAAGTTCACTCTGTGGTTACCTTGAGGTCTGGTTGAGATGATTATATTAGTAAAAGGAAGACTAATCAGGAAGCTGTTACAGAATTCCAGACAAGAGATGATATAGGCCTAAGTGAGTGCTGATCCATGTGGAAGGGAGGAAGGGACTTCAGAAGTATTTAGATTTCTTGTGCCTCAAAACTACCAAATTATCCACATATGTCTTTTAAATATTAGGAATCAAACAAGCACCACCTTTATGAAGCACACTCACCTGGAAAGTTCTAGAGATGTGAGAAGACTGGGTACTGGATAGACATTCACTGCTGTCAGCCCTAATTGAAAAACAAAAGGGTGTCAGTAACATTGTCTAAAGAAGAAAGTAACTGAGAGTAAATAAGGAAAAAGTGACAGCGTCAGAAAGAAAAGAGGCCACCTACTGACATGAACTAAAGACAAAAGCCACTGGGTAACGCACATGAATGGCGTGGTCCCAATTTGAAGACCAAATACAACTAATGAAGGATCGTGTGTACTGCACTGGACTCATGCCAGACCAGGCAGTTGTTAACAGTAACTACTTAATTTTTTTAAAAATTGATAATTGGATTTTCACTGGCAATATTTTAACTTTTAACTACAGTACAACATAGATACAGAAAAGGACAACAATCTTACGCGCACAGATCGCTACATTTTTACACACAGACCACACCAGTGTAGCCAGTGCCCACTTAGGAAGCGGACCATTACCAGCTCCCAGGAGCTTCCTCTCATCCGCCTTCCAGTCTCCACCCCTTGCCGCCCTCACTCCCTATACCACAGGCTACTTTTGCTTATTTACATAAATTACACATACAGTCTGTAAAGTTTCTGATCTGGCTTCATTCACTCCTTATTGCACTTGTGGGATCTATTCACATTACTGCATGTGCGTGTAGTTCATTCATTCTCCTGGCAGTACGAAACTGTTTATATGACTGTACCACAATTTGTTTATTCATTTTAGAGGTACGGCACTGAAGTCTTTTCGAGTTGGGGTGACTACGAATAGTGCTTCTATAAATATTTTTTCCATGTCTTTTGTGGACTAATATAAGCATTTATGTTGAGTACTAGAGGCCCGGTGCACAAAAATTTGTGCACTCGGAGGCGGGGGGGGGTCCCCTCAGCCCGGCCTGTGCCCTCGCAGGCTGGGACCCCTCGGGGAATGACCACCTGCTGGCTTAGGCCCACCCCCTGGGGGATCAGGCCCAAGCTAGCAGTCAGACATCCCTCTGGCAGCCCGGCAGCCCTAGGGGGATGTCCACTTACCAGCAGGAAGCAGACCTAAGCTGCAGTCGGACATCCTTAGTGCTGCTGAGGGGGCGGGAGAGGCTCCCGCCACCACCACTGTATTGGCAGCCGTCAGCCTGGCTTGTGGCTGAGCAGAGCTCCCCCTGTGGGAGCGCACTGACCACCAGGGGACAGCTCCTGCATTAAGCATCTGCCCCCTGGTGGTCAGTGTGTGTCATAGTGACCAGTCATTCCCAGTCGTTCTGCTGTTAGGGTCAATTTGCATATTCCCCTTTTATTATATAGGATAGAGGCCTGGTGCACGGGTGGGGGCTGGCTGGTTTGCCCTGAAGGGTGGCCCAGATCAGGGTGGGGGTCCCCGCTGGAGTGCCTGGCCAGCCTGGGTGAGGGGCTGATGGGTGTTTGCAGGCTGGTCACACCCCCTTCAGGGTGGGGGTCCCCACTGGGGTGCCTGGCCAGTCTGGGTGAGGGGCTGAGGGCTGTTTTCAGGCTGGCCAAGCCCCCCAGCGACGGAAGCTCCCAGCCTCTCCTTTTTTTCTTTTATTCTGGGATTTATTTACCTTCTATAATTGAAACTTTGTAGCCTTGAGTGAAGCTCAGAGCCGGCCAGGGTGGGTGGGAAGCTTGGCTTCCTCCATCGCCAGGGGCAACCCAAGCCTCCTGCTCGCTCCAGCTCCATGGCCACGGCTGGCTGAAAGCAGGTATCTGGGGTTTATTTATCTTCAACAATTGAAACTTTGTTGGCTTGAGTGGAGCTCAGAGCCGGCCACAGCAGGCAGGAAGCTTGGCTTCCTCCATCACTGGGGCAACCAAGCCTCCTGTTTGCTCCAGCTCCGTGGCTGCCGGCCGCCATCTTGGTTGGGTTAATTTGCATATAGTCACTCTGATTGGCTGGTGGGTGTGGCTTAAGGCATAGTGAAGGTACGGTCAATTTGCATGTTTGTCTTTTATTAGTGTGGATAAGCTTAGGAGAGAACTGTTGACTACAGGGGGTGCATATACTGAACAGTTTTCCGGGGTGGTTGTACCAGTTTACACTCCCAACAACTGACACTGGTATTTTCAGTCTCTCATTCTAGTCCCTCTGGTATGTGTGCAGGGGTCAGTTTGCATATCCCCAATGACCTGTGAAGTTGACTGCCTTTTCCTATAGTAGCTGATCATTGGATAACTTCTTTTGCGAAGCTGACTCCTTTACTCTTGAGTCGTCAAAACTGCAAGTGTTGATGTGAATTCTTCCAGCTTGCTGAATTTAAGGATTCTGTAAACAGAACAGCTAAGTTCGATAAAGCCCCATTTAGTACAGTACTGTGACAGAACCTTGGTTACTAAGAAGGACTGCATCTATGTCAATAAGGTCTTTTCCAAAGGAGCCAGTTATTCAGATCTTTAGATACATTAAGAATAGAAAATGGTCCTGATAATATTTCCATGGCGAAAGACCTACTACCTTCTCACGATATCTATAAACAGCACAACACTCATCAGCAGTGACACTATTCTGACCTAATCGCAGCTATAATATGAAGCTTCTGTAACATGGTTAAAGGCATCAAAAGAATTCCTTAACAATCTTTTATCCTAATAACGCATTTTAGAGATACAGAAAAGACAACAAAATAATGAACACTCTCTTCCACCTATCATGTAGCTTTTAACAAATTTTGACATTCTGCCTAATATGCTCCACTTTTTAAATTAAGAATTGAAACACTGCACATACCAGGTAAACATCATCCTGAATATGATTTTTATCATTCCCGTGGATTCTTTCATAGTGTTATGGCATACTTATAGCTAAGAAAACAACATTTTGTATGTTTTAAAATTTGATAACTATCCTAGTACATATAATTATGCACTTCCTTTTTTTACTCAAAAGTGCTTCTGAGATTTATCCATATTGACACACAAAGCTTTAGTACCTTGATTTCCATTGCTGTGCAATATTCTATCATACAAATATGTCATGGCTTAGTTTCCCTATTAATAGTCTTATTTTTAATTTTTTTCACTATAACAAACACAATGCTATGCTAAGCATTCTTGTACACATCTCCTTCTACACATGAGTGTCTCTGAGAGATATTCCAAGCAGGGCCCTGTGTGTCTTTACCTTCTCCAACACCTCACACTGCTCTCCAAGGGGGTTTTATCAACCACACTCAGACTAGCAGTGTATAAAGCGCTGCCTCTCCCTACCTTCAATAGCACTTAGCATTATTTTTTTTTTATTTGATGAGTATAAGATGGTATTTAAATTTTAATCCCTCTGACACTTAGTGAAACTGAACATTTTTTCCTTTCCTTCTTGAAACACAGAAAAAGTAATTATAACTTCTTTGGTAAAGATGAACTCTCCATTAAAAAATGACTTCAACAAATAACAGGCCTTTTACATTGGAAAATATTCCTGGAGCAAATGACTATCAAAACGAGGGGTTTCTCTTTCTAGAACTGAGGCAGCACAAGGTTTTAGATTAGAAGTTGGCAAAGGGTTAAATATTTAGTAAATATTTGGCACTTAGTGAAGCTCAAAGCATCTTGTAATGTCTTTTGTATGCATATTTCAACCACTTCAGTTTTGAAAGCAAACTGAAAAGACAAGGCGAGGTCTCAATAACCCTCAAATTCTATTTTACAGAGAGGTGAGGACCAACATAGATGCCATTGTTCTTGGAAAGCTGAGAGCTGTAAGAGAAGAAAAAGGAAGCCAGGCAGAGAACTCACTGTTGGAATTGGCGTAGAGAGTCCGCAGGGAGAAGCCACTGAGTGTCAGCTCCCTCAGCTGGTTCCGCTCACAATGCAGCTGCTCCAAGCTACAGAAGGAGCTAAGATCTAAGTCAGTCAGTTGGTTGTCCCGCAAGTCCATGTGGGTGATGTATTTATTTCCCTCCAGATTTTCAATTACCATGGTTTTCAAATGGTTCATCCTTAATATTCAAAAATAAGGAAATCATTAGAAACAAAATCTACCAAATGTGCTTATCAAAAGAAAAACAGGAGAGGTATGATGCCTTTCTCTCTTTCTAAACAACTTAAGAATTTCACTACTTGCCTCATTTTGCAAGGTACTAAGTTAAGCTTCTGTAACATGATTAAAGGCAGTCAAAAGAGAAGTCCTTCTGATTCTAGAACTGAGGCAGCACGAGGTTTTAGATTAGAAACTGGCAAAGGGCTAAATATTTAGTAAATATCTGAAGTTCAAAGTATCTTGCAGATAGCTGTACCTTAAGTTCTTTATTTTAAGTCAGATAATCCAGACTGGCAAATACATAACAAGTTAAATAAGGAGAAAGGAAAAAAGAACCATGATCCCACAAAGTTAGTTAACTTCCACCCAGATAACTAATAAAGTGAGGTAGGGACGAAGGGATAGGACCAAGGACCAGAAGACGGACATAACCTCTGGGTTAGTGAGCAGCAAAGCAGGCAAGGAGGCCACGGAAAAAGCCAGAGGAAGCAGCCCACACTGCCTCCCTCCCCTTGCTCTGCCTGTTCTCTCTAGTGCTAAGATTCACATTACATTAATTAGTGGAGAGGAAAATAATCGGTATCTACATGGAATAGTTCAAGGGCAAATTATAGAAAATGGCTTCTTGGTTCCCTTATATACAAGTATA